AGGCTGAGACAGTAACTTTACGTGGAACTGGGTTGTACTTAGTCGATAGGCTGAGAAAGTAACTCAGCTACGCCAACACTTGTATGCCGTTTTACTTTCCATAATTTGTATTTATTAAAATCAAAATAAGTCATAATCATTTGTTGTCCTGTAAAACAACACAGAGATAAACTATCAATGAATTATCATAAACATATAATATCCCCTAAAGTAATAACAATAATAATAATAATAACAATAATAATATAATAACAGTAACTCGCACAGCTATAGTCCGTTGCTCTGTGAAGTCATTGGTTTCAAGTTCAAATAACTAATTCTTACCGTCCAGTCACTGCTCGCACACGTTACACTGTTATGTTGTTGTTGCAGTAATTATTAAAAAATACAACTATACCTGTCGCTGACGATTCCAATGGAGACTGTACTTTAACTATAGTTGGTCTGGCGATTTTTTCAATTGATTGACATAACTGAAACGAGAACAAATAAATTCAATTCATATAGTTTATGTCGTTCAAGATATTCAACGATAACGTTGATATACTGTAAAACATGTCTTTTTAGCTAGCATGTTATTTTAGCTAATTTAGCTAATCTGTAACTTTGCTAATTCAAGATTTAGCTAATTTAATGTATTCTCACAATGAGATACTCGACACGACAGCTAAATTAAGATTCTGTAAATTCATGCCAAGAGTTAAATCCGCTAAAATTGCATGCAGCTATTTCAACGTGTTCTACAGTATATGTAATATCTCTATTGTCTTACTAATTCTCCTGATGGGCGTCCAAGTAAATTACATCCCATAATATGTATAATAGTCTGACCAGGATTGAGTCTGCTCATTGAATTGCTGATGTCTTTCCAGAATCTGAAAATACAATAATTGAATAATTTGAGATTAAACATGTGTTGACCTAAGTATTCTTAGACTATTGTTATTGGTTGGTGGGTCACCTCGGGTTCCCGACTTGTAATATATAATACTTGTTGCTGCTGTAGTTGTTTTATTTTTTGCTTGAATTTTTATTGTATAGTTTTCTCGTTTTATGCGACTGACACTGAATAATACAAGTCATTATTCATACCTTCTTGTTACCTGTCGTATATTTCTTAAACAATAAATCATTATGCATTATTCCAATTACTCACTTGATCAGTTCTGGCCCATTCTTGTTTTTAAGTTTCTTTAATGTGCAGCATCTTTTACGGAAGAGATACATACATCCGGGCGTTCCCTGCAAATAGAATTATCAGTAAATATTAGTTAAGTTCAAAGTTGGGAGATATATTTTCTCTCTCGACTTTTATTGAGTTATTCGCCGGCTATTTATCATACTATTATTTAAAAGGCGGTGGTCGTCGCGCTGCGCATGTTTGACATTTGTCTTGATAAACAGTGATTTTCCCACAATCCAATGCGCTCTTCTAATATAAATCACAAGTAGTAATTTTGACCTGGGCGCGACGTATTATCGCCGGTCACTCTTTGGTTCTAAAGAAATTACGTACATAAAGCTTAAAAACGTTTGAGGTTTCAATTGATCAATCGCGCATGCGTGGCGGGATGGCCACCGACCTTCAAGGTCAGATATGACGTTATTTATTCCCTAAATTACTATTAGGCATGACAAAGTCCAAGTTTGGAATTTTGTGTTGTTTGATGATATTGAATTAACGTCGCATTATTGTCTTGTTTGGCCCTTTCCACACTCAAACGGAACTTGAATCTATAACACGTATAAGTTGATGTTACGAATATGTCAAAAAAAACCATGTAATTAATATGCTCGGTGTTTGGTTTGACTAATACTACACGTGATCACGGCATGAATTGTTTTCTCACCATGCAATAGAAACACATCGATTGAGCACGGCTGCCTATTTTATAGTCATCAAGCTTCTTTTGTATTTCACCTACAGATGTAATCATTCATTAAAATAGCACATTAATCAAATCAATAAGAATAACAAAACAATATAAATAATAAGTACAAGTTTGTTATTGTTGATGAATATAAGGAATATAAGGCAATGAAGACTTGAGAAGATAAATTATTAGATCGTATTAAAAACCTTCAATTTGTTGACATTTAATTATGACTATTTCTTACGAGTAACAAGTTCGTATAATTACATAACACACAGCATAGAACCAAATGACAACGCACTGTATATACGTGTTTATAAAAAAAATATGTTAACACATCTGACTATTTTAATTAGCTTACAGTATTTGTTTAATTGGGTATATATCAAATTTTGCTCGATGCATTCGATATCTTTTTAATATGTATTAATCAAATAAATCAGTCCAAGTTGACTTGTTTTGTTTAAAAAGCTAAGAACACCTTTATAACTTTGTTATTAACATGTCAACTTCGTGTAAAGTGAAGGGCATAAATCTGGGGTCGTTATAAACTTGCTATATACATGTAAAAATATATTTGTATGAATCAAAACAGATGTTAGAATTCAGATTGACCAATCCAGAGATTGTATTGTGATATCATCGTTAATTCTTATTAATATTCATGCGTTAGTTCAACATTATCCAATCAGCAAGCCCTTCATTTTCAATAAATGTTGTCGCAGTTGCTATGTCACGTGAAGGGAATAAGACAACGTTCTTGCACTATTAAACATTTGTATGAAAGCTGGGGATCAATATTTATATTTATAAATACGTTTGTAAATCAAGCCCCAGCTGTGTGTCCTTCATTTATTCCTATTCATATATAGAATGTATAACTATAAACTACACATTTTTACTTTAACTATTAACTAATATGTATCGTCTTAACATGTAAAC